GAGCGCAAGCTGGCCGAGAAGGACGAGGAGATGGAGCAGGCCAAGCGCAACCATCTGCGGGTGGTGGACTCGCTGCAGACCTCACTGGATGCTGAGACCCGGAGTCGCAATGAGGCCCTGCGGCTGAAGAAGAAGATGGAGGGTGACCTCAATGAGATGGAGATCCAGCTCAGCCATGCCAACCGCGTAGCTGCTGAGGCCCAGAAGCAAGTCAAGACATTGCAGGGCTACCTCAAGGTACCAATAAAACTTCTGTTTCATAAGAATGTTGAGATGTAGTAGATTACACCACCTCACAGTAGAAGAAGAGTGGACCTTCAGCCCCTTCCCCCCCATCCACATTCACCCTGTTCCCCTATGCCGTCTTGTAGGACACTCAACTGCAGCTAGATGACGTGGTCAGGGCCAATGAGGACCTGAAGGAGAACATTGCCATCGTGGAGAGGAGGAACAACCTCCTTCAGTCAGAACTGGAGGAGCTGCGGGCGGTGGTGGAGCAGACTGAGAGAGCCCGCAAATTGGCCGAGCAGGAGCTGATTGAGGCCAGCGAGAGGGTCCAGCTTCTCCACTCACAGGTGAGACCTCATGCACTTTCAAGGAAAGAGGTCACCTGTATCCACAGGTGTGGGATTCTAATGAGTTGAGTTACCAAGATGTCCAGGTCCTTGAAGCCTCCAGAGTTTGCATGACAGGGGAATGGCCTCTATGTCCTGGGGGGCTGAAGAAAGATGGATCAGCAGTTCCACAGACACCTCATGAGATCCTCTTCTCCATCTCCAGAACACCAGCCTCATCAACCAAAAGAAGAAGATGGAGGCTGACATCTCCCAGCTGCAGACGGAGGTGGAAGAGGCCATCCAGGAGTGCAGAAATGCTGAGGAGAAGGCCAAGAAGGCCATCACTGACGTGAGTGCCCTGGTGGGAACAACAGCTAGGATATCTTCCAGTGGAGGGTAATGAACCTCCTTTTCTGCTTACTTCTCTCCTTGAGTAGGCAGCCATGATGGCAGAGGAGCTGAAGAAGGAGCAGGACACCAGCGCCCACCTGGAGCGGATGAAGAAGAACATGGAGCAGACCATCAAGGACCTGCAGATGAGGTTGGATGAGGCCGAGCAGCTGGCCCTCAAGGGGGGCAAGAAGCAGCTGCAGAAGCTGGAGGCCCGTGTGAGGGAGTTGGAGAATGAGCTGGAGGGTGAGCAGAAGCGTAACGCTGAGAGCATTAAGGGTCTCCGCAAGTCTGAGCGTCGTGTCAAGGAGCTCAGCTACCAGGTAGGGCACCTGGGCTGGCCCTTTGTCCACAGGGCCTTATGTCTGATGCTGTACATGACATATAACATGGCTGACCTGGTAGCCAGGGAGACAGGTGAACTAGACCACCCACTGCCTCTATGTCCAATACGGTGGTGGGACCTAGAACATGGTAACCACATCCCACTGTTCCAGTATAAATGGGGTCTTTGCATGACCCAGAACCTCAGGTGGGACCTCATCAGGGCAAAAAAGACACCTTCACCCAGGGAGACATCATACCTTCTGTCCCACAGCTGAGGCCACTCACAGATCTAGAGGGGCTCCACTCCCCAAGATTATCTCTGTCTCCTGACCCTCACTGCATTGGTGGTGACCCACACGTCTCTCACCCCACAGACAGAGGAGGACCGCAAGAATATGGTCCGGCTCCAGGACCTGGTGGACAAGCTCCAGCTGAAGGTCAAGGCCTACAAGCGACAGGCAGAGGAGGCGGTGAGCAGTGGGGGGGGCAGCTTTGGGACCACCCCCAGGAGGGAATGGCATCAGGTTGAGCTGTGGGACAGGATGTAGGGAGTAGCAGGTGAACTTAGAATGAGGTGGTCAAGAGGTGGGGTGTCAGGGGCTGAGGAAGGTGGGTGGTAGTGGGATGGAGAGACCATGGTGGGACGTGTGAAGGCTGGAATAATGGATGGATGGAAAGAAGGTTGGAAAAAAGGTGAGACAGATGGATGACTGACTGGATGGCTGGAGAAGTGGTTGGAAGTTTAAGCAGGTTGGATGGATGGAAGGATGAATGGATGGCTGAGTAGATGGTTGGATGGATGGAAGATGGGATTGCTGGAGGGACGGGTGGGTCCATTGTGGACCAGATGGAGCAATTAGAATTTTGGATGGACAGAGAGCAGAGGGGGTGGCAGGAGGACAGATGAAGCTGTGGGGCAGCCCTGCTGATGCCCCTGTCTCCCAGGAGGAACAGGCCAACACCAACCTGGCCAAGTTCCGCAAGGCACAGCATGAGCTGGACGAGGCAGAGGAGCGTGCTGACATCGCTGAGTCCCAGGTCAACAAGTTGCGGGCCAAGAGCCGTGACATTGGAGCCAAGGTGGGACTTCCCCTTGCCCCACAGCTGCCCCACGGCCATCTGACCACTGCCCCATGCTCACACTCCCTTTTTCTCCTTCTCTATCAGAAAGGACTCAATGAGGAGTGAAGCTCTGGACTCCCAACCATCCCATCTGAACTCCCAGCTGTCCCCTGTAGACTCCCAAGAGCCCCACCCCTGCTTCTAGCCCCCCAGGCTTGGTCAACCAATAAAAAGCATTAAGCAGCAGCAGTTTGTGTGGGGATGGGTTTGTTTGTGAAGGGTGAGATTGCCACACGGCACAGAACATACATGGAACATACACAAGTTAACCAACCAGTGTGCAACCTGGCACGCCCCACAGCATGATGCAAATAGCCCTGAGCAACAACAAGCCTTTGACCAAATCAAACAGGAAACAGTTCATGTAGTCACCCTTGGGCCAGTTCAGGCAGGGCAAGACTTAAAAAATGTGCTCTCTACTGCAGCCGGGGAGAATGGTCCTACCTGGAGCTTCTGGCAGAAAGTACCAGCGGACACTTGGGGTCTCCCTCTAGGTTTCTGGAGTTGGGGATACAGAGTCCACTCTACTCCAACTTAAAAAGAGATATTGGTAGCTTATGAAGGGGTTTGAGCTGCTTTGGAAGCGATTTGTACTGAAGCATAGGTCCTGGCATCCCGGTTACTC